TCTTCTTTTGTTTCCTTTGCTGTATTTTATATTTTATGTACAATCTCAAATGATATTGTCATTTTACTGCGATGAAAATGGAAACTACACTCGATACCATCAAGTTGATGAATCAAGATTTGGTGCGCTTGGATAGATTTGATGGATCAAACTTCAAAAGATGGCAAAATAAACTCAAATTCCTTCTAATGGCGTTAAAAATCTTCTATGTACTTGATCCAAACTTTGAACCAATCGCCGATGCAACCGAAGAAGATATTGAAGAAGTTCGTGCAGAAAGAAAGAAAAGGCAAAATGACAAATTGATATGTCGCGGTCACATTCTAAATGCTCTTTCGGATTGATTATATGATCTTTACACCAACATTACTTCGGCAAAGGAAATTTGGAATGCACTTGAAAACAAATATAAGGCTGAGGATGAAGGTACCAATAAGTTTTTAATTTCTAAATATTTCAATTTAAAAATGCTTGATAATATTCTTTTGTTGTCTCAAATAAATGAATTGCAAGTCATTGTCAACAAATTGAAAATTGTGAAAATTGATCTTCTCGAATATTTCCAAGTGGGAGCTAATTGCTAAACGTCCAGGAATTTGGAAAGGATATAGGAAGAAAATTCTTCACAATTTCGAAAACTTCTTTTTGGAATAAATTCAAAAACATCTTCGTATATAGGAAGAATCAAAGACAAGAAATAAGACTGCAAGTTATTATGATGACTCTTCAAAAGTCAATGTCGTGGACAATGTGTATAACTCCATCAAGTACAAGAAGAAAGGGAAACCTCTTGGTCCCAAAAAGGATCAAGGGAAGTTCAATAACAAATCCAAGGAACCTTGCTATGTTTGTGGAAAATTAAGACACTATGCAAGAGATTGCAGATATAGGAAACAACAAAAGAAGGAAGGACAGGTAAATTCAATTGATGAGATTATCGCTACGGTGAGCGAATCAATGCAATTCAAGGAAAAGTTCCGGGTTCGTGGTATGTCATCTGTGCAACCATCTATATTTGTTATGATAAGTCTCTTTTCAAAACTTATTACGACATTGAAGATGGTCAAGAGATCCAAATGGGAAATGAAGGAACATCTAAAGTGATTGGCAATGGCAGTGTGGAACTCATTTTCACCTTGGGAAAGAAGATCACTTTGACAAATGTCCTCCATGTACCAGAAATGAATAGAAACCTAGCAAGTGGAGTTTTATCGGGAAAACTAGGAATTAAATATGTATTTGAATCTTAAAAACTTGTACTAACCTATAATAAATATTTTGTTGGAAATAGCTATTCTACTAAATGAATGGTCAAACTTTGTACTTTTGAGCATGATTCTAATAATTAAAACAAATCATTTACCTATGTTATTGATTCATTTAATTTATGGCATGGTAGATTAGCACACGTAGGAGTTAGCACTATGAAAAGAATGATTAAATGTGGATTGATACAATGTGAAATTGATAACTTAGGAAAATGTAAAACTGGTATTAAATAAAAGATGATTAAAAAGCCATTTCATAGTGGGGCCCACCATGTGAGTGACCTGGTGAGTCCCTGTGAATTAATCCCCTGTACATGGGGATTAATTCAAAAAAATAAGCGCATATCCTTGACCAAAATGTACTTGATTTTGCAGTTCTCATGTATCGTGTGCGTGTGCGTAGAATTAGTAATTACCTGTGAGTTTCAACAATGCTTTCTCCAATTTCTTTGGAGATGCTTTACAGCAATTGAGATTCACTTTCACTACAATATTCTGCAATAAATGAGACGATCAATGAAGGTTTATATCATAGAAAATATAGAAAATTATATGCATACCGGATGAGTAGGCT